TGAATATGTGTTTGTATGAGTATGTAACACTATGTAACTTTAAAATTGATTTGTAAATCCATAATATGTATCATGTTAAGCGCATAGAGCATTGCATATTTTTAATAAGTGGATATATGCGCTATATAAATGCAATCCATTATTATTATTAAATCAATGTCAGAATAGAAGATATCGAACACTTTATATGTAGATCTATATCAAAGATAGTTCTATATGCTTTCAATGAGTACTATATATCGAGTCTATGGTAAACACGATTTTCGTAACTTTAGAAAATCTAATAATTGCACTTGATTGTTTTGTTGAAGTTCGATCTAGATCTACCTTTATTGTAGGCCTAGGCCTATTAGTAGTGCCCAGCCTAGGCTAGTGCGCGGTGGAGGTGGGCAAAATCTGGATAATCTATCCGGATAACCGGATAATTATCAATGAAATATCGTCCGAATTCAGACTCTTAACTCTCTTTTCTGATCCGTTTGCCGAAATGGGCGCACCCTTTTGTAGAAGCCAAGGGTTGAAGTTATGCTAACCCATTCGTCAAAGTGGTTCTAACACATTTGCCGAAGCGGTTCATATCATACTGTTTGCCGAAAAGGTACACTAAAGTATTATCCGGATTTTGCTAAAGCGCGACTCAATGTCCAGCCCCAGTGCGGAGCAAAATAAAATGGCGGGCGATGCTGTTGATTGCATGTGATGAATGTGGACAGTAACTTGTGTTTCCAGATCTACATTTTTCAGCTCTTGTAAGCGTGGTAAATATATTAAATGCCATCTGATATTGTCGTTTTGCATGATCATATTATGCAATATATACACAGGCTTCCAGAACCAAGAAGAGGCGGTTTATTAGTCCTAAAACCAATTTAAGGACCCAAATAAAGTGAAAGTGAAAGTGAAGGATTTGATGAAGGCGAAGGCTAAAATTTCGGTGCTTTCGGTAGTTCCCACACCCGTTATTTGAGCCTGGATCTAGAAAAATCTAAATCTACATCTAGTCTAGATCTAGATCTAATCTAGATTAGATATCTAGAGATCTAGATCTTGAATCTAGTCGAGTTGTGATGTCCCGGCCCAGGGGGCGGCCATCTTCATGATCTTGGTAAAATCAGTTTAGGGAATCTCCAGATTGGGCGCTTTTTCGCCGGTTTTGGCCCTAAGAGCAGCTTAG